ATGCATGGATGCATGGATGCATGGATGCATGGATGCATGCATGGATGCATGGATGCATGGATGCATGGATGCATGGATGCATGGATGCATGGATGCATGGATGGATGGATGCATGGATGCATGCATGCATGGATGGATGCATGGATGCATGCATGGATGCATGGATGCATGGATGCATGGATGGATGGATGGATGCATGGATGCATGGATGCATGGATGCATGGATGCATGGATGCATGCATGGATGCATGGATGCATGGATGCATGGATGGATGGATGGATGCATTCATGCATGGATGCATGGATGGATGGATGGATGGATGCATGCATGGATGCATGCATGCATGGATGCATGGATGCATGGATGCATGCATGGATGCATGGATGCATGGATGCATGGATGCATGGATGGATGGATGGATGGATGCATGGATGCATGGATGCATGGATGGATGGATGGATGGATGGATGCATGGATGCATTGATGCATGGATGGATGCATGGATGCATGGATGCATGGATGGATGGATGGATGCATGGATGCATGGATGGATGGATGGATGCACGGATGCATGGATGCATGGATGGATGGATGGATGGATGCATGGATGCATGGATGCATTGATGCATGGATGGATGCATGGATGCATGGATGCATGGATGCATGGATGGATGGATGGATGCATGGATGCACGGATGCATGGATGCACATGGATGCATGATGCATGATGGATGGATGGATGGATGCATGGATGGATGCATGGATGCATGGATGCATGGATGCATGGATGGATGCACGGATGCATGGATGCATGGATGGATGGATGCATGGATGCATGGATGGATGGATGCATTCATGCATGGATGCATGGATGGATGGATGGATGGATGCATGCATGGATGCATGGATGGATGGATGGATGCATGGATGGATGGATGGATGCATGCATGGATGCATGGATGGATGGATGGATGCATGGATGCATGGATGGATGGATGGATGCACGGATGCATGGATGCATGGATGGATGGATGGATGGATGCATGGATGCATTGATGCATGGATGGATGCATGGATGCATGGATGCATGGATGGATGCATGGATGCATGGATGCATGGATGCATGGATGCATGGATGCATGGATGGATGGATGCATTCATGCATGGATGCATGGATGGATGCATGGATGCATGGATGCATGGATGTATATCATATTAGTCTTTTGATACACACACATATATAATATATAATGTGTGGATTTGTAATATATTCTTATCGTTTATTGAAAAAACGCAGAGAATCGCCAAGCATCCGATCGAGTGAACTGGTTCATGGCGATGCAGCCCATGGCCTGCTTTCCTCGGAGAGGCATAGGCTGTCAGTCACGGGTAGGTTCCCAACATGAATCACCCACTGAAGTCATTAGCCTCTGGTTATGTCAAATCCGTTGCCCAACTGGAGATAGAAATGGGTCAAGATTTGGCAAAACAGTAGAAGCAGATGATTTACCCTCTGGTAATTTAACAGTTTGCTATTGAAAATGGCCATTGATAGTGGATTTGTCCCATTAATTGTGATTTTCCATAGCTATGTTAGTTTACCAGAGGGTATCACAAAGAGACAAGCCCTCGAAGTGTGTGTGAAACACTTTGGAATCCTTTGGAAAACACTCATGTGCCGCCAATCCAGACCTACAATCATAAGTCCAAGATTCCCATCGCGCACTCGTACGTGTTGCGAGGCGATTGATTGTGGTTTGGATATGGGATGAGGCCAGAAACCACGCCTGAGGTGCCAAAGTAGTGCAGCCAGTTTCAGCAAAGCCGAAAGAAAAGCTGGATGTTAAAGCTCAGCTTGCAAGAGTGTCACATGTTCCATCCAAGGCTGACTTGGAGGAAGTACCTAGGTTACTAAATCTTCCTATCACATTCGCAGTCGGTGCCTAGAAGTGTGAAGGGCTCAATCTCCAAATGAGTGGTCTCCAGTGTGATGTCATTAGGGTGAAGCGCAATGAACAGATTGTTCTCTTCGTTGACGTCTACCTTGACGCAAAACTTGCCAAACCCGTGGCAATTTTGTGGTCAGGAGGAAAGGCTTGGATTTGCTTAAGGAACCCGAAAGAAATATTCCCTTTAGTTTCCCCAAGTATATAGTGGATTTCCCATTGGGAAAAACATCACCTGAAACATCCTGAAACAAACCCAAGAAGGTTGGCAATGCTAGAGTTGAAAACAATCAAGTATAAGCTAAAACTCACAATGAATGTTATATATATAATGTGCGAATAAGTCATACACACACCTATATAATCCTATATATATTATATATATATGTGTGTGTACTGATCTTATGACATTAAATATTGATATATCATATGAGCGCATCCGGTGAATACTGGGACTCATGACGCCAAGCAGCCCATTCAACCACACCCTGCTTGAGGAAGTCTACAAAGGACATGCCTCCCTCCTCTGGTCGCTTCAACATCCTGGAAAGAAACATATAGAAACATCATATAAGCAGCAGTTGGGTCAAACTCTGGCATCCCGTAATTACTCTGCAAGCCAATTCTAAACTCTGAACATCGATTGCAACTTCAAGATACTTCCAGCTAAGCCACAGTGGCACGTGCTTCTCAGGGATGAACTGCGGCTTGCCGTCAGCGACAATGATCAATGGTCTGCACAAGCGTCCCTCATCCGAAGCCACAAATATGGCATGCCAGCCTGCGCATCATGCAGCATCAAGCGCATCAGAGAAGTAAGGCGTGCAGGATCTGCGGCATATGTGGGCATTCTGAAACATTCTGAAGGATCAATAATGGATCAATAATGGATCAGTGGCAGACGGCAGCAGACCAGTATCAAGGATCTGAACTCTGCTGTTGCCATCCATTTTCCCTCTACCATCCTTATTAACATACAGTAAGAGTAGGGTTGGCAGAATCTCAGCACAGCTGCCTTCATCCTCATAGATGGAAACAAACTCACCAACCAGGCCGCGACGTCTCAGTTGCTGCAAACCTGGGAGGGTTGGGCCGAGCCATGATCCGCCAGTATTGTCACCATTGGCCACCAAGAAATCCAAGAAACTGGCCATGAACCTTTTCGGCCTCCGGTGAATTCCCAGCAGATTGCCATTCAGGAAAACCTCAGCGTTGAGAAATTGAGAAAATGCTGGGGATATCTGGGGATGATGATCCCTGTCCGTTTCATGTCCTGTTTTTCGTATTTTTTGGTGCTGGGCTCTGTTGATATCAAGCTGCCAAATAGTTGCCGATGTGGTGAAGTTCCTCGCCCGACAAAGCATGAGCATCCTGCGGAACTTCGGACTTCGGCCTTGGACTACTGATCTTAGATGTTCTAAAGGTATTTTTAAGGATATTGTTCAGGGTATGTTCAATGTATTTCAATGTAATGTGTCACCTGCCCGGACTTTGGATGGCCAGTTGATACGTATGGGCCGTATGGGCTGTGACCATCTGCTCAAAAGATATCAAAAGCCCTTGGCAACGTCCTCCACTCCCAGGCAGAAACACATCTGGCGTAGAGCTGAACCGCCTTGACCTTGGTCGTAGCTCCTCTTCCATCTGTTGCACCACCAGTGCCATCAGTTTTTAATGTTGCTTCTAGGCGATGCCGTGCTGCTCTTGTCACCAAGGTGGTTCCAGTGATTTCTACATCTACAGTACCCCGTTAGGAGCTGCACCTTCTCCAGTTGTTACGTGCGTCAGCAAGGCCAAATGCCTTGGATCAGCTTGCATATCTCAGGTAAGAAGACCAACGGCATGAGCAGTTCAAATCACTTAAAATCCAAATAGTCCAAGATTTCCAACTACATCTAGTATCTTTCAGCAAGACTGAGAACAGCCTTTCTCTGCATTTCTGTATTGCTGAACGTTGTTGAACCATAGATAACCATAGTGATAAGTAAGTCCCAGGAGCTTCACCAATCCACACTGCTCCCCTTCAGGAGTGTCGGCTGGACATAGCATGCCCCATTGAGATGGTTGCAATGCACGAGGTCCGGCCACTTTACGGCTTTTCTCGAACTGGGATTTCACTCGCATCCTTGCAAACCATTGTGCTGAGGCAACCCGAGGCCCCCACAAAAATGATCAAAAATGCATCCAAGACAAGACCAAAACCAACCTCCAACTTGCAAAAATGTATATAATTACAGCTGTTCAACACCATCTGAACCAAAAAAAGCAAGATGCAGCCCACGAACCCGAATGCTCACATGGATGTTAATGGTACAGATGTTGAAACATGCAGTCACGCGGAAAACTTTTCTGCAATAGTTTATTTGAACAGTCTTCTACATATTGCCCCTGTTACCAGTCTGCAGTGTGGAGTGGAAAGTGTAGAGTGTGGAGTGTGGAGTGGCAAGTGTAGAGTGTGGAGTGTGGAGTGTAAAGTAAGGAGTGTGGGGTGTAAAGTGTGGAGTGGGGAGTGTAGAGTGTGTAAAGTGTAGAGTGTGGAGTGTGAGTGTAGTGTGTAAAGTGTAGAGTGTAAAGTGTAGTGTGTAAAGTGTAGAGTGTGGAGTGTGGAGTGTAAAGTGTAGAGTGTGGAGTGTGGAGTGTGGAGTGTAGAGTGTGGAGTGTAAAGTGTAGAGTACAAAATGTGGAGTGCAGTGTATAAAGTGTAAAGTGTGGAGTGTAAAGTGTAGAGTGTGGAGTGAGGCGTCTAAAGTGTAAATTGTGGAGTGTGGAGTGTAAAGTGTAGTGTGTGGAGTGTGTAGTGGAAAGTGTATATAGATGTATATAGAGTGTGGAGTGTGGAGTGTAAAGTGTAAAGTGAGGAGTGTGGAGTGTGTAAAGTGTAGAGTGTAGAGTGTAGAGTGTGGTGGAGTGTGGAGTGTAGAGTGTGGAGTGTAGAGTGTGGAGTGTAGAGCGTGGAATGTAAAGTGTAGAGTGTAGAGTGTAGAGTGTGGTGGAGTGTGGAGTGTAGAGTGTGGAGTGTAGAGTGTGGAGTGTAAAGTGTAGAGTGTAAAGTGTGGAGTGCATTGTTGCGCCAGCCACACAAAAGAACTTTCGACACGGTATGAAACAGGGCGGAATGTCACAAAGTGCCATGCCTGCCACGCAAAACGACATGACAACCTGCTTGGAAACCTTCGAAAAGGAGAGGTTTTGCAGCTTCCCCCATAGACACGGCGACGCCACAGGAAAACCACAGACTCGAGACGAGACACGTGGGCGCAGAAAAACGAGCATTTCGTGCGAGACTTCCTCCAATTTTGACACTTTGTAGCCCCAAAATTGACGTTTTCCGACGAGTTTTCTTAGGAACCTCTAAATTTATACCTCAAAATCGATGTTTCGTGCGAGGCTTCCGTCAATTTTCATCATATCTCACAAAATGCCACGCCTGCCACGAAATCTGCACCTTGTCGCCACTTGACGCAGCCCCACCAATGCGATTCGCAAAAACACACAACACGACACGTCTAAAGTGCTGCGCCTGCCACGCAAAATGATGATGGACACGTCCAAAGTGCTGCGCCTGCCACGAAAACTGCAACGCATCGTTTAAAAACGTTGCGAAAGTATTGCGCCTGCCACACAAAACGACTTTCGACACGTTTCAAATCACGTCTGAATGTCACGAAGTGCCACGCCTGCCACGCGAAACGAAGCAACTCGACGTTTGAAACCTCCAAAAACGACCCCTTCTGCAGAACTTACCATAGGCACGGCCTAAGCGCTCACGCGGACGGTTGCGAACGGTTGCGGACGGTTGCGGACGGTTGCGGACGGTTCGGCAACGTTGAGCGAACACACCCTCAACCCCCAGACCCCCAGAGTGAAACGGGAACCCTTGCTATGCATTCGGGAAAAACTGTTCTCGCAATGCTGCCGGGCTTCATGGAGCCGACGCAAGACATGTAAGAGAATCTGGAGAGGACCTGCCCGTACAAATCATACAACAAATCAATACAAATCATACATGCCAGAGCTGATGGCAAACAAATATTTCATAAACTGCAACTGCTACAATCAAGGAATGCTAGGCCGAATGCAAATGCACCAAATTTATCCAAATTTGAATCATTGTCCATCTCATTCCACCCTCGATGGGCCTGGGAGACACCTGCTCGGTCAATTCGAAAACGCTTGATGTTCCAATTTCCTGTGGAAATTGCATTGGCCATGGCACGCGTTAGCTTTGAGCGGTCTTGCCACGACTCCAGAATATCAGGATACCTTAGGAGCAAAGCTTGTTGTACTCGAAGGCGCCAAATCGTAAAAGGAAATGGCCAAGATGCAACTCAAGTTGATGATCAAACAAAGATACAGCAAGAATCATGAGTGACATGCGCAAGGATAAACAATGAGGCTTGTCTGACAGATTGATTCAGTAGGCCTGTAGGATCCTGTAGGTTTTTGCAGAAAGACCGCAACAAATGTTGTAAAACCCCAGGGAATCATGCGCTAAGCGACGACATCATGTCTTTGGAGCGCGCAGCTGCAGACTGATGCCACTTGGACAAGAGAAGATCGGCTTGCTTTTGGAGCTCTGAATTCATGAACTTAAATTGATCCTCGAAAAGAACCTCCACCAGTTGACCAGACAACTCCAAGCGTTTATTGCCATAGTAGTCTCCTCGGGAAAGCAGTTTGTTTCCACTTTTCTGGGACATCATAATGAACTCCAGTGACAAATCATACAAAATCATACAAATATGACTGTGATATGACTGTGAATGCACAGGATGCCACAGGGGAACATCAAGTGCTGCCAAGCAGCGATCATCAACCAACTGTGGGTCATACATTGCATTGATCACACGTCTGATCATCAGGCCGAAGTAGCCTACATTGGTTACATGCCAGCTGCGAACTTCACTGGGCCGATTGCAAGTAGGCTAGGATCTACAAGTTTGAAAACGTCTATGGCTGCATAGCCCCAAAATGATCTATGTACTTGGAGCATGAAATAACACCGAATTGTTCAGCTGCGTCCGTGCACATTCGTGAGACCTCAATATCACATGTGAAATGCAATCTAAAAAATAACTCGTTCAAATCAAGGAACGGATCTTTGGCGCCAAACTCTTGTTGGGGCACTCCACATGTGACAACACCTGGCACTTCATATTCAACACATTTCAAGGCCAATTTTTGCCACGTCAAAGAATAGCACAATAAACAAAGGATATATGAATGATATTAAGATATATTAAGATATATTAAGTGATATACTGATTCAATCGGTCGTTACATCCAGACTGCATTGACCATATTGGCCACGCCTGTCGATTGATCAAATCCATGGGATCTTGCTGTCTTCTCCGTTCTTGCCCTGTGCAAACAAAGTTGTTTTTTGCACCAATGATTCCCGGCATTTGGCCAAGAAATCAAAGGATTATCACAGGGCCCCCCTGGCGAAGAATGATCATATAAGTGACTCATACGACTGTTTCGAGCGTCCTCTGGCCTGGCTTCACCTTGATCTTGGCAGCGAGGAAATCCAAGGCAGCTTTCTGTGAGAAGATGTTCTTTTCCTCAGCTCAGGATCCTTCCAGTTGAAGTATGAAGTATGCCCGGGCTTCAAAACAATTCAAACCACTAGGCCAACCACAAGATTGGAATTGACTGAATTGATTCCAACAAAGATCTCAAGCCGGGCAGCATGGCACTCTTGCAGAGAGATCATCAATGTCTCCAGATATTTTCTCTGGATGCCCACCATTTGAACGATCTCCATGTCGCTCTGAACGCCCATGGCCTGGGTTCGGGAAGCACAACATCCCCAGCCCCAGCCCCCACACCAGGAGCATCAGCCATCGTAACATCCGGCCTTCATCATGATGGAGACTGGGATCAATTCAGAGAAGGCTGAATGTTTCACCTCAATCCAAAGATATCCAAAGATGCTTGTGGTGGCCCAACCCAGGACCCAAAAGCAGCAGGTAACAGGCAATCAGAAGACTCGGGGTCTGCTGTTTTCTGGATCCGTCTCTCCACCGAGCCCGGACTCAAAGCTGAATCAATCTGGTGTATATATATGTATATATAATTCCTTCTCAATCAACCTCCATTCTTAAGAAAAGGGCTGCACTCCGTACGCAAACGGGTGGACGGCCTACTATGCCTACAGATGCCTACAGATGCCTACAGTAGGTCTTTGTGAGAGATGGAAGTCAAGCGTGCATCCGGTGATACAAGTAACAACCTGACATGATCCTACCATGCTGCTGGGCATCAGGGCGTGTGATTGTTGTGAAAAGTATGCCTTCAACATCCTTCAACTGTCACTGGCGAGTTGTAGTTACTGAGCACATCTGGCAGCACCTGGCTGGGAAAATCAAGTGAGTACCGTTGTTAATTCCTTCAACTTTACACTGACGTGGCTTCCGCGGAGTTCCCCCTAGCGTCCGCGATACTGTTATGACTCGACTGCTCTCCGCGCTAGCTTCCACGAAGCTTCCACCATACAGATCCCAGCTTCCATGGAGAAAATGAATGAAAATGAGCGGTTAAAATTAAGACACACATAAATGATCATAATATGACTTATATAATATGATCATAAATGACAAAAAGGTGAAACACCGAGTTGCGTAAAGGCCTTTCTTCCGTGCCAAGGGATTTGCAACGACCACCTCAGGAAGTCCCGGCCGTGGTAGAATTGCAATGGTGAGGCTCGATTGATATTCTCAGCCTTCTCAGCCTTTCACATCTCTCCGGCTTTTGTGGGTGTTCATCATTCTTCATCGTACTGAATCATGATGAATCATAGTTGTCATCCTTGTCATTCTTGTCTTCTCTACCGTGGCCATGTCAATCCCGCGGCTTGCGTGCTCACAGGCCCCAAAGTGCCACCAAGACGCGGTTCGGCTTTTATTGTCGGCACCTTGGTGTTTCAGCAGACTGCTCGATCTCATCGCCAGGAGATGCCAGGAGTGTCCTCTACTGGACTAGCACTGGTGTCCTCTATAGATGTACATAGCATTACATAGCTTGACAAGTCTTGATACATAGCATGTGGCGAAAGCCGGCGCTCTCCGACTATCTCTTCGAGATCCTTCGATATGTCCCCATCGACTGTTGCGCCTCCAAGGCACTGTGGGAAGTCACAAACGCCTGAAGGGTTTTCTTCGAGTCATACTCAACGACAATTCTGTTCATCAACGCCTGCGGTGTTGACCAACAATCAGCCACTTGTGTAGAAAAATCGAGGAAGAAAAAGACAAGACATGTCGTGACATGACATGGTATGTCTTGACTTGTCATAGGCAAACGAGGAGTCCACAAATTAAAAAGTGGACCCTAGCAAACCACAGCAGACTCGTGTCGACCAGTGCCCGGGTCGTAGAGGCATCTCAAGGCCTGCTCTTGCATCATGAGTACTCGCTCAACGCCCTTGACAATGAAGTATCCTGCCAGCGCGACCTTGACCTAATCACACTATCTACAATAATAACCATTATGCTTTATGTATATATATATATTATATATATAGATATATGCACACACATATGCTTGTTGTGTCTATTCTATTATCATCTAATCTATTATCTGTCCATCCATCTATCTTCTATTCAAATGTAACATATTATATATATATGCGTACATATAAATTATATATAATATATAATTTAATATACATATAGTGTACTAAAACATTGTAATACTGCACGGATCTGCACGGTATTTATCATCATATTCATATTCCGTCAAAACTTTATGAGTCAACCTCCCGAGTGACATAACAGATTGCGAAGGGCCTGGTGCTGCATTTGTACTTGTGTGGGCTAGTCGTGGCTCATGCCATGTCAAAGAGGAGCTGCTTGGTACGGTGCTTGGCATTCAACTTGCGCTGAGATGCGCTGAGACCCTCCTGTCCTCCAGGGTCATAAGGACATTCGCCTGCTTTGACCACTTCCTAGGGGTCATCGATGGCACTGCAAAAAACAACTCCATCATCGTCCCGTCGTACCAAATCTACTCAGTGAGAATGGGCTCGGCTGTGTGCATCAAAGTCACTTCCTCTGTTTTACCACTCAGGGCGCAAAGGTTACTGCGCAACATCACTGGCAGCATTCCGATTTCCACATCACGCTTGCCTGAAGGCTTCAAATTTAGAGGCAACTGAAAGCAGATCATGTTACATGTGAAAGAAATTAAATATGCAACATGTACCACATCGCGATACAGAAGGAGAATTTGATCAGCATTGCGTATGGTTTCAAGCTGCTGTCACTATGGGGCTGTCCCATGTGGTCGCAGGCGGGCGAAATTTTCTGCCACGTTGCGGATCCTGCGGTCTCCCTTCCAATAGATAACATCCACCAAAATTGGTGCAGCGTAAGTCAGATCTCTCAAGCGACAATCGTGCGGAGTGGTGTCCTAGGTCTGTTTGTCAGGAATGCATCCCAAACCAAAATGCATGGATGGTGTGTATATATCATCACAGACGTATCTATAATCTTGTATGTAATTACAGTATATGTAATTATATAATATTATATAATCATATATAATCATGTTTAATTACATATGATTATATATGCATGTGCGCATGTGTGTTTGCAGAGAGAGAGAGAGAGAGAGAGGCTGAGTGCTGAGTGCTGAGTGCTGGAAATTTGGAGGGGAAGAGAGGCACAAGAAAAATCGCAAAAAAAACATTCAACATATTCAAGCAGTGCGGCTTAATTCCGCCTGAGATCCGTCACAATCATGTCTTCAGTCTTCGAAGGCTTTCCAACTCTGATGCTCTCATATTGCAGAAACCAGTTCTTGTCAGACTCACTTCTCACTACATTGTTGCTGGTTGCCTTGACAATCTGTTGCATTTTGACATTCCTTGGCTGGAAACTGGAGAAAGCTGCCTGCGTTGAAGAACATGAGCCATGTGATCATGTGGGTGGCCCCAACTGCATGCATCCTCTGAGGCTTCATGACACTTCATGAGACTGCCAAATGGAGCCAAGAGGCACAAAGTGGTTGTAGGAATCCTGAGTTGTTGGGGCTACTCTCAGCTCATGTCTAAAACTCTTGCGGGATTCATTAGGTGAAGGCCTTTTCAGCACCACTTCCATCCCCAAGAAAGACTTCAATTCGTCGTTGAAGATTCAATATGCTGTGTCACAAGCCCTTTGTACTCAAGGAAGAGGTCCACCAGTCGCCATTTGTCAAAGATGGATGGGGCCTGCGCCACCACATCATTTGCGGGATGCCCAGAACGATCAGAATTCTCAAACCGATGAGGCATTGTTTTCCAATCACAGCCAACATGGCAGACAACGCTGAAGGAAGTTCATCATTTCCGCCGTGGGAAGGTCTTTGGATTGGCTGCTCAACAGAGGCTTATAGTGGCCTGCTCCTCTTCTGCCTGTGTCTCTTGATGTTTCACCTTTGCATCCTTCTTGATCTCCTGCAATCGGTCATAGCTCAGGTTGTGCACGGGACTTAGCCTTGTACAGTACAAATGTTCAACAATCTGGACATTTGCAGAATCTGCGGCACAAATGGGCACATGGTCCAAAAATGTAAATGCATCAAGGCAGTCTTGCCCTGTACCCAAACCAGTGCCTTCTCCCATGGCCACTCTTGTCGCCACCAGTTTCCTTATCATCGCGGCGTTGGAATGATCATTGTCTTTTACATGGACCCAGCAGAAACTAATCAGTGTCTTGGAAGGTGTTCACGGTCTTCTGTTTTTTGGACCTCCCCGAAGCCTCCTTGGGCGCGAATTGGGTGCAACTGGCCTCTTCATGTCCAAATGGCACATTGCAACCCTCATTGACAGTGAGTCTGCCGTCATGCCACCAACCCAAAAACTACCGAAACTACAACACAAGCCTCGACTGTTTTTGGCAATTTCTTTCTATGGGATTCCTACGGTATCTCACCACCACACATTCATTATTGTACATTGTACATTATGTATGTTCTGGAGATCCCAAAATAGTACCAGTAGTACCGCACAAGGCGGCGGCGGAAGTTTCAAAAATAGGAAACCTATAGGAGAGGAGAGATTGGTGGTTGTGAATCACGGATGGCAGAGCGAAGCCACTGATCTATCTATCGATCTATCTATCTATCGATCTATCTATCTTTCTTTCTTTCTTATCTATCTATCTATCTACCTGTCTATCTATCGATCTATCTATCGATCTATCGGTCTACCTGTCTATCTGTCTATCTATCCACCTATCTATCTATCTCATCTGTCTATCTAACTATGTATCTATCTATCTCTCTATCTATCTATCTATCTATCTATTTATCTATCTATCTATCTATCTATCTATCTGTCTAACTATCTATCTACCTATCTACCTACCTATCTACCTACCGATCTATCTCTCTCTCTCTCTCTGTCTGTCTGTCTGTCTGTCTATCTTTCTATCTATCTATCTATCCATCTATCTATCTATCTACCTGTCTGTCTATCTGCAAGCTTGAAAACTAAGCAAGTCTGCGAGACGTCCTCAATTTTTGAACGCAACAACGTCAAAAACGAAACAATTCTGCGAGACTTCTGCAGTTTTTGAACTTGACAACATCCAAAACGAAGCAATTCTACGAGGCCTCTTCAATTTTTGAACATGACAACATCAAAACAAAGCAATTCTGCGAGACTTCCTTCAAAAATAGAAAGTTACGCGCAGCGCTGACAGCCTCGTACCAATGCGTTTTGCGATGTTTCCACTCCACCTGTCTAAAGAATTGCGCCTGCCACGAAAAATTGATGCCAGGTCATACGAAGTGCTGCACCTGTCACGCAAAATCATCTTAGCAAACCTGCAGATCTGATGCTCCAAAATGCAACCCCTCTCAGAAATTTTGCGCCCTGACCTCCTGACATCTCTCATGAACATGTCTTTTGTACTGCGCCTGCCACGGAAAATGCATCTTTGCAGATCCTCTTCAAATGCCCCACGCCTGCCATGGTTTTTGGAAGTGCGACAAAACCCTCACTTTTTGCCCACTTTTGACAAGGTGCACAATCCCTTGCGCCTGCCACGCAAAACGACATCTGAACCTCCAAAAGTGGCGCAAGCATGTGGTGTTTTGTGCATTTTGACTTCGAAATGTGCTTCGCGCCACAACGGCATGCACTTTTTCGACATCTCAACTTCCAAAAGTGGTCCGACCCTGGTGTGCTTTGTGCATTTTGACTTCGAAATGTGCTTCGCGCCGCAACGGCGTGCACTTTTCCGACATCGCAACTTCCAAAAGTGGTCCGAACGTGAGGTGTTTTTAGCTTTTTCACTTACAAATGTGCTTCGCGCCACAACGGCGTGCACTTTTTTCATCTCTCATCTGGCCAGATGGCTCCGCACCCGCCGCTTTAGCGAGCCTACTTTTCGACCCTCCGGAGCCACAAATCATTGGAAAAACACAGTGTTTCGTGACCTTTTCGCGCATCTGCATCCTCCCTCTTCTGACTCTTTCTCTTCTCTGATCTGCTCTCTTCTACTCTTCTCTTCTCTCTGCCTCTGCCCAGCTCTGCTTTTCATCTGTCTATTGTCGGAAGTTTGACTTCTAAACTTCCGTCGAATATATATATATATAGATAGATAGATAGATAGATAGATAGATAGATAGATAATGATAGATATAGATATATATAGGTATATAGATATTTATAGCATGTCAATAACACTACCACGGTATGAGAGAGTGCAGGAGTCAATGCTGCCCCGTACCAAAATTACAGCAGCAGCCCCGCGGCCCAAGGCTCCATGCTTCACTAGAGCAGGTGCTGGCATACCTGAAAAAATAAGACATGGCTACTGGATACCCTGGATATCCCTGGATGCTACTGCTTTGCACTTTGATTCCGCGGCTGTGGTCCGCCACAAACAGAGGATTTGTCCAAGGCAAATAAAGCTAGCATGTCAAATGGCAAACATGACAGGTAGATGTGGCCGTGCAAAAACAGCGTCTACACGTGAAGCAGCTTCAATGAGTCTCAACGGCTGCTGACTTGACTGCACGGTGGCAGAGACGGAGACTGACCATGAAAAAAGACATCTTGCCGTGCCAAGCCACTCTATCCTCTCTCCAACGACTGCCCATGGCACTTGGGGTGACTGGCAGCCTCCGCTCCCCGCTACTGTCCTTGAGCCGTGCCTGCAGGCCCAACAACCTTCCCTTGCCTCAGCTGACTTGTCATATCATCGCAATAATTCAAGTATGGCAGGCCAAGACTCAGAAAACATGGTGCACTTGCTTGTTTGGATGTTTGAGTGTCATCCTGGATCCCAGTGCAGTCCCAATCTTAACAGTTCTTAACCCGACAAATTGGAATCTGCAGCAACAAAGGGATCAACAAAACCAGCTGCTCTCGATGACATGCATTTCAAAGCCTTCAACATTTTCCAGAAGGGGGTTCCTTTTGCAGAGAAAACTTAGCTTTTAGAGGCTTTTAGCCTTTTGGTTTCAAATACAGTATCTGGTTGTTCCATGTTGTTCCACTGCATCTGCACTCCGTCTGGCTCTGTAGGAGCTCCAGCTGCTCGCCTACAGTTAGAACGTGTCCGAACACCAGAGCCAGAATATTCAGCACATAGCTCACATAACCACTAGCAGCTAACTAGCACACCCTCAAGGGGAAAATGGGGAAATATGAGGAAGGGGAAATGGATCTTTTGAATCCTTCTCTGGTTCTTCTGGTACTTACTTCATACAGTATGTAGTGTGTCCTGTGGCGGTGTGTACGGTGGCGGTGGTTGCTGATGGACATTCCGTGCGTTTGATACGGCAAACAGTAGCTTGAACTGAGGTCTGAACATAGCGTCAAAGGCTTTTTAAGCGTCTCCTTGTGCCAACAAAGTTGGCTATAGAGAAAACCCAGAGGTCAGCCAACACCCAGAAAATATGAAACTTTTTCAACCTGGATTTCTGAGCCATAAATAATCATAAATAGGCCATCGATGACAAGTGATCATGATCACAATCTGTGCGCTGATTGTGGGATATTGTGGGTATGGACACCTAGGGACCTAGGGACGGAGTCTCAACCGTCTCAAGAGGTCA